CATCAGGAACTCAATGGGGATGTGACGGACAACACTGGAGGCCAACCTCAAGCCCATAGCACAAGTCACCATCAAGTGCGGGATCTACCAAAGAGATGCTCTGTCCCCACTGTTGTTCTGCATAGGCCTTAACCCCCTCAGAGAGATAAATGACAAGACTGGCTATGGATACCGACTATGGAATGGAGCAGTTGTCAGCCACCTCCTGTACATGGATGACATCAAGCTGTATGCCAAGAGTGAACGAGACATCGATTCACTGATCCACACCACCAGGATATACAGCAATGACATCGGAATGTCGTTCGGGCTGGAGAAGTGTAGTCGAATGGTAACAAAGAGAGGGAAGGTAGTCAGAATGGAGGGGATCAAACTACCAGAAGGCAACATTGCAGACATAGAGGACAGTTACAAGTACCTGGGGATCCCACAGGTGAATGGGAACCATGAAGAGGCTGCTAGGAAAGCTGCAACCACCAAGTACATGCAGAGGGTCAGGCAAGTCCTGAGGAATCAGCTGAATGGTAATAACAAGATCCGGGCTATCAACACCTACGCCCTGCCCGTGATCAGGTACCCTACTGGCATAATAAGTTGGCCAAAGGTGGAGATAGAAGCCACTAACATCAAGACAAGAAAGCTCCTTACCATGCATGGAGGGTTTCACCCCAAGTCCAGCACCCTGAGGCTGTACGCTAAGCAGAAAGAAGGGGGCCGGGGACTGGTGAGTGTCAGCACCACAGTCCAGGATGAGACAAGGAACATCCACGAATACATCACGAAGATGGCCCTAACTGACAGCCTGCTCAATGAATACCTCAGGCAGCAGAAACCCAAGAAAGTGGAGGAAGGCGAGGAACCATCATGGAAGGACAGGCCCCTGCACGGTATGTACCACCGGCAGTTAGAGGAGGTGGCTGATATCCAGAAATCCTACCAGTGGCTGGACAAAGCTGGACTGAAAGACAGCACAGAGGCACTAATCATGGCAGCACAGGAACAAGCACTAAGCGCAAGATCCATTGAGGCTGGGGTCTATCACACCAGGCAAGACCCCAGGTGCGGGCTGTGTAAAGATGCTCCAGAGACAATCCAGCACATAACAGCAGGGTGTAAGATGCTAGCAGGCAAGGCATACATGGAACGCCATAACCATAGTGTACAGGAACATCTGTGCCGAGTATAACCTGGAAGTCCCGGGGTCAAAATGGGAGATGCCCCCAAGGGTGATGGAGAATGACCGAGCTAAGATCCTGTGGGACTTCCAGATACAGACATAGTGGTGGTAGACAAACATGAGAAGACGGCCGTAGTGATCGATGTAGCGGTTCCGAATGACAGCAACATCAGGAAGAAGGAACACGAGAAGCTCGAGAAATACCAAGGGCTCAGAGAAGAGCTCAAGAAGATGTGGAGGGTGAAGGTGACGGTGGTCCCAGTGGTAATCGGAGCACTAGGTGCGGTGACTCCCAAGCTAGGCGAGTGGCTCCAGCAGATCCCGGGAACAACATCGGAGATCTCTGTCCAGAAGAGCGCAGTCCTGGGAACAGCTAAGATACTGCGCAGGACCCTCAAGCTCCCAGGCCTTTGGTAGAGGACCCGAGCTTGAAGGATTGACTGCCCACAGGGGCGAGTGGGGATTTTTTTTATTTTTATATTATACATATATTTTTTTGTTTGTTTGTTTTAAATAATTTATCTTTTCAACTAGCACTGTTCACATGAGGCACAACAGTTTTCTGCATCATTGTTTTTATGATAATTTGTGATAATTTTTTTTATTCATGTGTAAAGAATTTGTTGTTTGGTTGTCTGTCACTCTAAAGTATTGATGAGAAACTCAATAGACATAAATATGAGAAAACCCCCCACTAAGAAATAGAAAGGAACAGCAATGAGTGTCATGCAATCAAAAGGTTGCACTTTTTACACATTCCTCACTGGACAGACTTACCTACCAAAATTTATTTCCTCCAGATCTGAAAAAAAAAAAAAATAGTGACATTCAATGGGTTGTTGAATAATGCATAGCTTTCGTATATAAAAACTAAATATTTAAAATATATATGAATATGTATTTATTATGTTCACCTGTTATTGCATGTTTCTCATCAGAATTTGCAGGATTTTCCTCTGGAACAAAATAACAGAAAAGTTAGTTAAAGCTTATTTTCACATACATGTAGCTGGGTTTAAATACACCAACAAAGACAACATACTGTATGGCTGAAAGGCACAAAAAACTATGTTTGGTTGAAAGTGTTAATGTGACAGACTGTAACACAACATAACACACTTCAGTTACTGTGAAAGGAGCAGCCTGGCATGATCTTAGCTCTTGTTTCTACCTTTGAGATCTCTCAGAAGATGAAATAAGCAGCTGCAGAAGCAGCTTAATTAACACTGTAGTTCAATTGGTGATTCATGTGTGCGAATGGTTGTATTTCTCTCTTTGGTAGATTGGTGACCTGTGGATAGATTTCTCATAGAATTCTCATCCTATGAAAGCTGTGATTGACTCTGGATAAGTATGCATGCATGGATAGCTGGTTTTGACTACAAGATATTCCCTAACATGACGAACAAGTGATGTTTGGGAGATATTGTATACCAGTAGTATAGATTATTGTTTCTGTTAATAGTCTCAGAGACCTCAATTATTATAGTTTTATTCAATGATTTTAAAAAAAAGTCTTCTGTGGTTTCTTGTTTTTGTTATTGGTGGTTTATTATTAGCCTAAGCGACACCTCTCTGTGTTAGGAATTGACTGACAGGTTAGTGCAGATAACAGTAATTAGTGCTGAATAATAATAATAAAAAAAGGTGTCATCAAAACAAGCTAACAAACAAGCACACTCAGAAAAATAAAATGAACTAAACTACGACATTAAATGACTATTATGGAGGATGTTTCACATGTCACACCCACCGTTAGCAGTCAGGGTCACTAAGGGCAGCAGGGTTAACAGAAAAAATAAACAGCCGTTAAAAGCATTGCTCATTTTATGTCACAGCAGGTAGAGATTTACACACAGGTGAGAAAAAAAAACTTTTATGCACACACCGACTTAAAATAACAAATTATTTTTGTAGTGACTGACTTATCTTTCAAATATTTTAAAGACTAAAAAATACATTAAAAGTGCTTCATGTAATCACACTGGTTTGTAAAACTTACTGAGAAATATCCAAGTTACAAACAACTCTGCAATAAATGTACATATAATATATAAACCATTAAATAAGCACATGTTTAATAATAACAACCATGATTCCTCACGTGGTCTGATGCAGGTATGAACCTGTAAAGGCTGACACCACCATTGTTCCCTCTGTTTACTGTAGAAAGAGAAATAAATTGTTAAATGCAACCAATGTATTAGAGTCTTAAGCTAAAATCATGGAGCCAAACTGCAAAGATATATTCTTTCTGACATTATTATAAGCTAACTTTACCTAACAGTGTTAAGGCTTTGCCATCAGTTAAATGTGCAGAATAAAAGTGATGTAGCCCTTTAAAGTTACTTAGAATTATGTTATAAATGTTTTCTTACTCTCATAATGTCAGAGCTATAAACTAACCGCTTCCTCTGGCTGCGGCCTGTAAGTTCGTCACATCTTCACAGTATGTGAGTGCGTCTCACCTCTTCAGCATGCTGGCCGAGGGAATCAGACCAGCGCAGGATGTAGCACATGGCAGTTTCCTGGCTTGCCACCACTGTCCATCTGACTGGTCAACCACCTGAAGAAGGTCTCCTCTGCTGAATGCCATTCCTGCATCTGGACATGGGATGGAAAAATCCTGCAGAGGGCAGTAGTCTACCATTGCCCTCATACATACCTGGAAGACAGACAGATAAACTTTGTTTTATTGCAGATTAAAAAATAAATTAATCAAAAAGTGAAACATTCACAGATGTACTGAGGGAAATCATGTTTTTAAACCTGGAACACCAGCCTGGAAAATAACAATCAGTGAATCATGTCAGTAATTGTACAGGGATTTTCCTGCTCATAAGTAAGTTTAATGTCAACAAAATGTGCTTTTAATAAAGTGATACTGGAGGTAAAGTGATAAAGTTTGTGTTTCTTACTGGTGTCTGGCTGAGGATGGCCTGAGATGGATTTGGAATGATTTTAAACAGGATAGTGCCTTGGGAATTGGCCTGACAAGGAAAGTCATACACAAGAAGTATACATGGTGAGAATTATTTTTAATAATCAAATGTACACGCTTTCACCAAGCATGTTGTCATACTATCATTTATACATATTATTAATACTATAAAGCTTGTGTTTAACATTTTCGTTTTCTTTTTTTTTTCTTTTTTTTTCTTTTCTTTTCTTTTTTTTTTTTTTACTTTAAATGGCTTTTGAATGAGGTGGTAAAAACTGCCTTTAATATTTCTAAAATACATACAATAGCATTGATAATAGTATTTTCTTTTAAAAAATGTTTTTCTTATTTTTAGCAGATGCTGATAACATACCAGTATATGGATGACCTGTTCTGGTTCCAGGCCCACCACTGGGTTTCCATTTACCTCCACTAATAGGTCTCCAGGATGTAGAAGTCCTGATACAGGCAAAAACCCATATTTATTAAGACATATTATTGCTAGGCGTGATGTTTTCATCTCTCACACACAGACATAAGCAAAAATGCACATGCAACACACACACACACACACACACACACACACACACGCACACGCACACGCACACACACATTTTCATATCTTAGTGAGGACATCTCATTGACATACTGCTTTCTTTAACCATCAGCCTAAACCTAACCATAACCTAATTGTAACCCTGACACTAAACCCACATTCACCTTCAAACTCGGACGGACATTTTGTTATAAGCGACTGTATAAGTATAGTGGCATGTCAATTTTCTGTCCTCACAAAGCTGTCTAAACATGTAACACACACACACACACACACACACACACACACACACACACACACACACTTAAAATACTTGTATACCACTGCGGTCAGCCAATCCTCCATGAATCACCCGGGCAATAGAGATATCTCCCGTTGCCTCATCCTTTCTTATAGTTGCACCCTAACAGATAGAGAGTTGTTCAAAATTTAACAACAAAGTAAAAAGCAAGCAAAAATAGTGACAAGAGATCTTAAGGCAAAGGCAAAATGTCTTCTAAGATTAGCAAATGGAAAATTTTGACTAAATTAATTTTTAAAAGTACACGATTTTAAAAGTAAATAATAAATACTTTGTTTAAACACATTTTCTCTTCATGAGATCCTCATTAAAAAATCAGCAAATTAAGTAAAAGCTCTTCTTGTACGCCAGTTATTATTATTATTTTTTTTATAAGGCCTTCCATTTTTGTGCCATTTTGTGAGGAATATCAATATACACACTAACATAATACACCCAGCAGCTGAACATACATTCAACTCAAAACCACACAGTTTAGTGCTGGTGGTAGATCAAAGTTAAATAGATAACTAAAGGGTTTTTTTCTTTATATTTTAATGCTTGGGCATTTGATATTAACTCATTTTGCATTACATCAAAATATCATGGGGACTCTAAAGGTAAACACTATCAACACAATACAATGTCCACTACAGGCCATTGCTAGAAGCAAACTGGTAGCAAGGGCTCATGAAAATTAAGGATAACTTTAGTAGTCCTGCAAATTTGCTACCATAGTTTTGGGAAATGAAAATGCTAAATTATTTTTAAAAAAATGCCAATTACATAAGCTCCAACCAGGCGCTAAAACAGTGCTCATGAAAATTAATTTTGATGTTTCTATATGTGGAATAATGTAAAACTTCTTAGGTGTTTCCACAGGGTTTTATTGCTGTATTTGATGTGCAATAGATACCACGTAAATATACAAACAATAAGTCAAGATGAATGCAGTTCAACATGTACAAAATAATCCATAGCAAATATTATTAAAAATAAATTTAACCCTAAACACTTTCCTCCTTTTTTGCTCAATGTGTATATTCAGACCATCATAGTCAAGAACCCAAAATAATAAATCAGAGCTGATGAAAAAAATGAAAGCTGTCATACTTTCTAAGAATAGTTGGACTAGATGACGAAAATAAGACAGAAAGAAATTGCTTTGTACCTTTATATTGTTTGCTTTTGTTCCTTTGAGTGATTGTTTGAAAAATCGAAAAAATCTTCAAATTAAAAAAAAAAAAGTCCATATGTTGTTGTAGCTGATATTTCTTTTTAGACTAAGACATTAGGTATTTTTGTCACTGGCACAGTTTTTCCAGTACAAATGCTGGAAAGAGATGAAAAGGTTTGTTTTTAGTCTAGTTACTCTTTCTTCTTCTTCTTCTTTGTTTTTAAGCAGCCTGTACTCTTACAGTCTTGTTGGTCCTCCAGAGGAGCTCTTGAAATGGTTCCAGTGTTGAACCTCACTTGTCCATTATTACCACCCCTACCTGCCCTCTGAGGAGCTGCCACCATCCTTTTGGATCCACCATTAATTTGTGTTGGACTCCTAGATGTTGTAAAGTCATCTGCACAAGAACTTGTGGAGGAAGAAGAGGAGAAAGTAGTGGAAGAAGATGGTGAGAGTGGGCCTGGGTATGGTATTGGAGATTTGCGGACAAGTTTTGGAGATAATGAGGAGACCCTTGGAGGAGGTGAGGGTGGATATTGTTGTGTCTTTCTCTGTGAAGGAGATGACTCGAGGTGTTTTTTGGTTATGATTAGCCCCTGAAGCTTGTCCACCACCTCGGCAAGCAGGTTAAGTGCCTGGGCGTTCTCTTCCACGCTGTCTGTGATAATCTCTGATGCTGCCACCATCCTCTCACCAAGTTGGCGTACATCCTGACTATTGTGTTCAATACTGCTGGCCACCATCTGAACAGTGGACCTAAGCTCTTCCACACTGCACTGTTTCTTGAGTTCAGCACGCTGATTATGGTGTCTTGATTGCTGCTGCTGCGCATTTTGTTTACGTTTTGATATGTTCTGGCATTCATTGTGACGAGGAGCTGTAGCGTAGTGGAACATTAATGGATGATTTAAAGACTCTTCCTGATGTGTGTTATGAGGTCTGGTTTGAGTGGTTTGACAACCATCTCTTCTGGAGATAGTGCTGACCCCTTGTTCCTGAGTACTCCTTCTAGCTGCAGGACTAGAAGGAGCAGTGCCAGATCTAAGAGGGTTCATGCCACGACAAGAGGAGGTCCTTCCAGGTGTGGGGATATTTTTTGACTGTCCTCCTGTAGAATTTTTTTTGTACAACACAGGAGAGTTGGGAAGGCTAAAACTGTAAGCTGGGATTGGAGGAGGTGGGTATGCGTAGTCATCACTGCTCTCTCTGGTTGAAGCACCATCTTTCCCATTGGGTTTGAGTTCCTCTGAAAATGAACCACCAAATAAATTTGCAGTTCAAGAGAACAGAAAGACATTAGCAAACTATGTCTGAAAAGAAATGTAATGGCAGGAAAGCCCAAAAGACTTATAGACTGCCAGATGATGGCAGGTTCATGAAGAAATGAACACTTAGTTGCACTGAGGAATGACACCAAGATAGATGAAGTGGTTGTTGCCTTTCATTGCCATTGCTAGACATATGAAAATATTTGCCCAGAAAGTACCAAATACTAGAATGATTAGATACAAGAAAGAATGAATTCTCGATTATGATTAGTGAAGGTACTGATGGATGGCCTGCGTTTCTATGATATGTTGCCATTGTTTTTTTTTTTATATTTGATGGCTTAAATACAGACAAAGAATGATCAAATGAAAATGGTCAGATGATTGGTGATTGTATGGACTGTCATCATCTGTTCTTCCTCCTCTTACCAGTGCAGGTAGCAGGGTTCAAAACAGAGGGAGCTGACTGATTGAGTCCTTTGTTCCCAAGTTTTACAGTTGGTGAACACAAATAGCAACTTCCTGTGGATTCATAGCGAGGGAGAAAGGGGTGGGACCTGCCGTCTTTATGAACAAGGGGAAGCTTTGCTTCACTTTCGGGCACTCTGAGGTCCTCCCCTGACTGAGCTCTTCTTGCAGGGATGAGGCGTTCCAATGTAAAGCGGTGCAGGCTGCTCCAGCGGCTGTGAATTTCTCCTACACTCCTTCTACACTCTTCTCCACTCTTAATGAATGAAAGATGAGAAACTTTGAGTTTTTAGGGTTTATTAGAACATTTTAAAGTTAACATAATGTAATTTATATTTAAGCAATTTAAGACTTAACTACTTTATGACTAATCTGAGGGCACCTTGCAAGGCTACCTTCAGATTTGTCATCGAATCTATGAAGTCAACAAGCCATCTTGTTGACTTCATAGATTCTGTTTAACAAAAGTGATCATTTCTGCATCCCTATCTTACAGGAATATATTACTAATTTGTTTGGTTTGTTTGAAAATGTAATCACTCTCTGGATTGTGCTTATAAGCAATGTTTTTTGTCATTTTTTTTTCAGAGAGTTTTGGACGACATAGATATTGAGACTAATAACGCCATGTAAATAGAAAGCTAAGCTACCTTAGCTTATCTAAAACAAAAAACAAGGACAAAAAATGACAAAAACACATTTATGTATATTTATAGGTTTCTATAGCTGACAGTTAAAAAAATACTAGGTAATAGGTCATCAAAAAATTATTGTTGGATGAAACACTGGTCTTGAATGATTCATTCATCAACTCATTCACATACTCTCAAAGGACCTTTTGGTCAAATTATTCTGAGTAGTTATAATTGAAAAGAGAAAAGACAAATATACACCTCTGCCTGCTACGGATTCCTGACATGGGTGACTGATTGCACTAAAGCTACCAGGATTTTTAACTCCTTTTACTCCTTTTACAATTTAAAAAGGAATATATACTCATAGGAAAACATAAGGTCCTTCGTGTAAACTCAAGAACTGCAAACGAAACTGTGTTTCTGAGCAAAAGTTTACATTTATGAGGAAAATGCTTATGTCTTACCAGAGGCTGGTTGTTCTTTACAAGACACACAATCCTCATTGCCTCCTCATCCTCTGGTATTTCATCAGGCAGAGGGGGTAAGACAGGCTCATAGTCTGACTGTGCAACACTGTCATGAGATGACAAGAGAGCCTGATATACAGAGAGATAGATAATCAGTAATGGGTAACCAGAAACTTCAAATATAAGTTATAAGTTAAGAAAGGCATGCCATGATGAACATGGATTCTAAAATGAATCTATAAAACGAATCTATATCTATATATCTATAGATATATCTATATCTATATATCTATCTATCTATCTATCTATCTATCTATCTATCTATCTATCTATCTATCTATCTATCTATCTATCTATCTATCTATCTATCTATCTATCCTATACTATATATATATATATACTATATATATATATATATATAGTATATATTGGGGCAACAATACTCGTATCGATATTGAAGCAGCTCATGTGTTTATTCACCCTTTAACTGTCACGGACCCGGTTCCGGGGACTCGGGGTTCGTGAACAGTGTGGACCTTTATTGTTATTTGTGTCTTGGATGTATGTTTGCTGCACTGTGCTCTTGTGTTCCATGCTGGTGTGTGTGTGTGTGTGTGCGTGTGTGGGTGGGTGTGGCTGGAGGATGAAGGACAGCCACCTGCAGGCCTGATGGGTGTGGCCCTGCCAGCTGCTGGTCACGCCTAGCTTCCCACACACCTGCTTCTGATCAGGATCGTCGGGGGAGCTACTTAACAGAGCGATGGAGCTTCCTCCGGCGCAGGATCGTTGAGTTAGACTCCACGTCAGTGTCTCGAGTGTTGTTGAGCGTATGCCTGCCGGAGTTGGTGCCGTAACGGCTGTGTCTGTTTTTCCTCAGGAGGACAGCGGAACACAGGACTGCGAGACACACGGGGTGTGTGAAGGCACAGGGGCAGAGAGCACGGGATACCAGCACTTGGGAGAAGACACGTCACGGGAGTCGAGGGAGCACTTTGGAGAATTATTGTGTGGTGTACATTTACCTCACTGTAAATAAACCCACTGTTCATTCCTCTAAGTCCTGCGTTTGGGCCCTCTCTCCAACACCCCCCACGGTCTGGCCCCCAGACCGTGACAGAACGATCCTGCCATTATGGGCCCAGCGGACTCAAGGACCGTCTCACAGGAGGAATTGCTCGCCCAGCTCTGGAAATACTGTCGGAGCATTATCCAGGCGGCAGATCCACATCAGAGACACTTACAGGTCGTATTTTTTGATTCCTTCTTATCATCACTCACCTCATCTGTGAGCTTTTTGGACATTAAGAGACTAATTTCGATTATAACCACGATGAGGGAAAGTGCCTGTTTTGAGCTGTTTGGTTTGGGCTGTCCGGGCGAGGAGGATATGGCAACCTCCCTGGGAGCCCTTGCTGCCTATTTCTTTTCTCATAGGCTGATAGCCTCCCCGCCGTCGCTTGCAGCTCGCTTGCTGGACCCTCCATTGCGGGGGAAACGTTTCACACGCCCTCTGCACCTCTCCACATCTCCACTCACCTCTGCGGCACCTGCTGAGTCAGCAGACCAAGGACCGGCAGCTCAAAATGACACAGCTGCTCTCCTGTCCGGCCGGCTGGTGGAACCTCAGCCTGATACGCTGGCCCCAGCATCGTTAAAGAAGCGACGCTTGCGCCGCCGGCGTGCCTCACCGCAGTCAGACTCTAAAACTTTCCAACAGGCGGCTGTGGTGAGTCATATGGACAATTCATCTTCATTCACCTCATCTGTTTTTTCACTGGACTGTGTGAAAGCTAACCTCGTAGCACAGCCAGCTGCCCAGCCTGTAGCCGTAGCACAGCCAGCTGCCCAGCCTGTAGCCGTAGCACAGCCAGCTGCCCAGCCTGTAGCCGTAGCACAGCCAGCTGCCCAGCCTGTAGCCGTAGCACAGCCAGCTGCCCAGCCTGTAGCCGTAGCACAGCCAGCTGCCCAGCCTGTAGCCGTAGCACAGCCAGCTGCCCAGCCTGTAGCCATAGCACAGCCAGCTGCCCAGCCTGTAGCCGTAGCACAGCCAGTCCAGTCAGCCTCTCGTCTTCGTCCTCAGTTGGAGGCTGATATGCCTGCTGGAATTACCCTGCCATTATGTCACCCGCCTGTTGTTTCTATATCGCTGTCCAGTCTACCACGAGTAGCTGCCGCACCATTATCACCTCCGCCCTTTGCAGCTACTTCTCCACCAGCGTCCCATCAGACTGCAGCGACCGCGGAACTCTCGACTTCACCATCCACATCACCCGCTCGGCCGTCATCATCCCATCCGCATGCAGTCACCCCTCGGCCATCTTCTTCACCGGCTCTACCTTCACCTTCCCCACCTGCGGACACCGCATCGCCATCTTCGCCTCCGGACTATCCATCTGTGGCTGAAGCGCAGCGGGAGGAGCTCACACCGCCAGCTGAGGTGCTCAGCGAGCCGGAGGAGCCCGCACCGCCAGCTCGGAGCTCAGCGAGCGGGAGGAGCTCAGCATGCCCGAGCCGGAGCTCAGCGAGCGGGAGGAGCTCAGCATGCCCGAGCCGGAGCTCAGCGAGCGGGAGGAGCTCAGCATGCCCGAGCCGGAGCTCAGCGAGCGGGAGGAGCTCAGCATGCCCGAGCCGGAGCTCAGCGAGCGGGAGGAGCTCAGCATGCCCGAGCCGGAGCTCAGCGAGCGGGAGGAGCTCAGCATGCCCGAGCCGGAGCTCAGCGAGCGGGAGGAGCTCAGCATGCCCGAGCCGGAGCTCGCGCTGCCAGCCGAGGAGGAGCTCGCGCTGCCAGCCGAGGAGGAGCTCGCGCTGCCAGCCGAGGAGGAGCTCGCGCTGCCAGCCGAGGAGGAGCTCGCGCTGCCAGCCGAGGAGGAGCTCGCGCTGCCAGCCGAGGAGGAGCACTGTGAGCCGGAGGAGCTCAGCGAGCAAATGCCGGAGGAGCTCGGCGAGCCGGAGCAGCCCAGCGAGCCACCCACTGAGAAGCCCGCACCGCTGCTGGCGGACCTCAACGAGCCGGAGGGACCGGCGTTGCCAGCAGAGGAGCTCAGCGACCTTGGTGAGCCTGCGCTGCCACCGGAGGAGCTCGGAGGTCCGGAGGAATCCGCTGAGCCAGAACTGGAGGTCTGCGTGCCGGAGGGGCCGCCACGTCCTGCAGCCCGGCCGCCACGTCCTGCAGCCCGGCCGCCACGTCCTGCAGCCCGGCCGCCACGTCCTGCAGCCCGGCCGCCACGTCCTGCAGCCCGGCCGCCACGTCCTGCAGCCCGGCCGCCACGTCCTGCAGCCCGGCCGCCACGTCCTGCAGCCCGGCCGCCACGTCCTGCAGCCCGGCCGCCACGTCCTGCAGCCCGGCCGCCACGTCCTGCAGCCCGGCCGGTACATCGGGAATCGTGGGTGGTGCTGAGGCGGGAGCTGCAACGCCGCCGCCGCCACCAGACCCGTGGCAGGCCGCCAGAACCGTTCCGCCGCCATCGGACCCGTGGCAGGCCGCCGGAGGAACGGCGCCGCCGCCACCGGACCCGTGGCAGGCCGCCGGAGGAACAGCGCCGCCGCCACCGGACCCGTGGCAGGCCGCCGGAGGAGCAGCGCCGCCGCCACCGGACCCGTGGCAGGCCGCCAGAACCGTTCCGCCGCCATCGGACCCGTGGCAGGCCGCCGGAGGAGCAGCGCCGCTGCCACCGGACCCGTGGCAGGCCCCCTGAACTGTTTTGCTGCTGCTGCCGGACCCGGGGCCGTCCACCGGAGATCCTGCGCTTCCGCCACTGGACTAGAGGTAGGCCACCTGAACTGTTTTCGGCCTCTGCCTACCCACAGCAGGTTTCGCCCATTTCTGCCGCCCACCGGGTCGGCACCCAGAACTATATTTGCTGCCGTTAGGGCTGGGGTTGGACTACTGAACTGAGTTCTTCACTTTTCTTTGTTGTTTGGTGGTGTTGGCGGTGAGGTTTTGGGGCCCTCCGTCCTGGACCCCCCGCCTCCCGCCCTGGGTTGGTTGCTCTGTGGTTTTGTTTTGGGTCGTCGGGAGTCGACCCTTTGAGGGGGGGTACTGTCACGGACCCGGTTCCGGGGACTCGGGGTTCGTGAACAGTGTGGACCTTTATTGTTATTTGTGTCTTGGATGTATGTTTGCTGCACTGTGCTCTTGTGTTCCATGCTGGTGTGTGTGTGTGTGTGTGCGTGTGTGGGTGGGTGTGGCTGGAGGATGAAGGACAGCCACCTGCAGGCCTGATGGGTGTGGCCCTGCCAGCTGCTGGTCACGCCTAGCTTCCCACACACCTGCTTCTGATCAGGATCGTCGGGGGAGCTACTTAACAGAGCGATGGAGCTTCCTCCGGCGCAGGATCGTTGAGTTAGACTCCACGTCAGTGTCTCGAGTGTTGTTGAGCGTATGCCTGCCGGAGTTGGTGCCGTAACGGCTGTGTCTGTTTTTCCTCAGGAGGACAGCGGAACACAGGACTGCGAGACACACGGGGTGTGTGAAGGCACAGGGGCAGAGAGCACGGGATACCAGCACTTGGGAGAAGACACGTCACGGGAGTCGAGGGAGCACTTTGGAGAATTATTGTGTGGTGTACATTTACCTCACTGTAAATAAACCCACTGTTCATTCCTCTAAGTCCTGCGTTTGGGCCCTCTCTCCAACACCCCCCACGGTCTGGCCCCCAGACCGTGACACATATGTATCGAACAATACAAAATTTTTTTTTATTTTATCAACTTTTCTTCTGACGATGCTGTCTGTGTTGAGTGCTCAGTGGATCTGCGCTCACAGTGCAGCCTAGGCGGAGTAGTCGAACGCAGATTCACTGAGCGCAGGGCAAGCTAGCGAGACAGAAGTTAAGCTCTCCTTGCAACATGGCAAATTGAACCTCCCCCACCCTCATTCAGATCTGGCGTTTGGAACTATTTTGGTTTTCATGTGACGTATGACCCTGAAGGTAAGCGCGTCATGGACAAAAGTAAAACAGTATGTTGGATGTGCCACGCAATGCTCAATTACATGGGTGGGAACTACTGCGTTAGCGCAGTTAGCTCGTTAACGTGTTGGCCGTCCAGCCCCACGCACGGGGCGATCCGCGGTAGCTCGTTAACGGAGATTTGCCGTGTTGTGGCGTTAACGTCATTTCAACGAGATTAACGCTGACAGCACTAGTGGGAACACAACGAATATGACTGCACATTTACTCCGACATCATCCTAGTGCAAAGACAAGTGGAAGCAGACAAAAACAACAAGCACGCATGCTACAAACTTTACCCGAGTCATTTAGACAGCCGTTAGCACAGGATTCTCCTTATGGGGACCTGATATGTTTAATATGCTGCTGAGAATATAGCCCAGAAGAAGCGTATAGTATAGCTTTTATTTTGGAAAGAGCCATTTCTCTGTAATAAACTCTCTTTTCCAAAGATGAGTGATTTCTCGATCAGATAGATTTATTTTTTTTATTACTTTGTTGTTTCAGCAACATTAAATTTAAAAACTGTACTTTTGAGTTAAAATATATATTTATAATTTTAATAAATGACAAATTAAAAAGCATGAACATTTTTTTTGTATCGAAAAAATATCGAACCGTGACACCAAAGTATCGAACCGAACCGAACTGAATTTTGTGTATCGTTGCACCCCTAATATTATATAACGGGAAAATATTTTATCATATGATATCTATATAATATATATATATATATATATTATATATATAAATATATATATATACATTATATATATATATATATATATATATATATATATATATTATAATATATATGTATTATATATAGTTATAATATATATTATATATATTATGTTATATATATGATATATATATATTGTGGTATGTGTGCATGTGTATACCTGGATATGAGGTGAGCTCAGGAGGCTGCACAACTCTCTAGCTGGAGCTGAAGGCTTTTGAGCTGTCAGTATTGCAGTTATGACCTAATGAAAAATTAAGAAGATTCCTGAATCAGATGTTAAATTACATTATACTGGAAAGACAGAATACCAGACATATGTAAAAGGAAAGCAAGAGACCTAAAAACACTGATTTCTATGGAAATATTTCCAGAAGAAACTTTAGATCCAGACATAATTTTAATGACTTTAACCACCTACGACCCGAACTCTTCCAGAGCATGCATTTTAATTTCTCTTTGATATTTGGGCATACTGGGACCCGATGAATGTAAAAACAAAGGATTACCAGTTTTTTGTTTTACCCTATTTTTTACCCACTTGAAAAATGAGAGCCACATATGAGGATATCCATTTAAAATTTCGTAAGAACAGTAGCAGCATAATGTCCTCATAAGTGGATATCAGGCCCTTGTAGAGCAAAATTGAGTATTTTGGTCTAAATAACCCAAAGTGTGATGTCCTAATATGTGGACGCCAGGTCCTAGGAGGTTAAAATGACTTATCACAGTCATCTGGTCACTTGATCCACATCCTCTAAAAACTTTTTCAAAAAGGAAAGGTTTAAATCTAAATGTAAATGTAGAGAGGGTGTCTCCTGTTGTGCTTTGTATTATTTACAGAAAGCAGACATGTTCTGGTTGGTTTCTGTATTGATTACATTATCAGGCTTACTTAGTTTTAATTTTGTTACCTTTTGCAAGATGCAGAATTAAAATTCCAATTGAATCAGCTGTGATAAGGTGATATTTTACAGAACACTAATGACTGATATTTAGGGATCTAAATATTTCGTCTATGGCTGCTTGTTTGTTGTGTTGTATATATACACACCTCATGTGAGAGTCCTGCAGCATAAGGCAAAACGGGGCTTGGTGTCAGTCTCTGGAACTTTAACAGGCACTCATAAATCTGGAGACAAAGCACCAAATGATAACTTTTAGTTTGCAGACAGATGGTAGGTGTATGTCTTTTACTCCAGGACCTTTGAATCATGTACCTTCAGCAGAGCACAAAGCCACGGTGCACTCAGTAGTTCATGCAAAAGCTGAGCACCATTAATGTTCCTGCTAACAGCTTGGTCAACATCCTTCACCACACTGGATAGTACCACACTGACACCTGAACAAATGATGACATAGGGAATTAGGGAAGACACAGGGAATTCTTGGTAAATGGACTGGTAGTTATGCACCACCTTTCTACACAGCTGAGCGCTCAAAGCACTTGCAACTAATTCATCAAATTACACACACAATCATATGGCACTTATGCCTATGCAGCAGTTCAGGAAGTGCAAACTGGACTCCAACCAGCTGCTGACCTTCTACCACTTCATTGAGAGCCTGCTGACATATATCACAGTATGGTACGGCAGCTGCACTAAGGCGGATAGAGTGAGGCTTTAGAGTGTAGTCAAGGCAGCACAACAAACTGGAGATACTGCTATCCAGTACAGATGCTGAAGTGATCCATACATAGCTAATTCAAGTTGGTTAGCTTGGGGAACAAATTTGCATTGTCTGAAATGTTGACATTAAAATGTGGTTCGAGTGCTTAGAGTAAAACCACATTTCCATATTACTTTATTTCACATTGGTACAATAATATCAGTGGAGAAAGTTTTTTAGTAATTGAAAAATAAAAGTGCTCTCATATTGTCCAAATTTGGTTTGATTACTGTATTGTTCCAGTGTTTGCTTAACTGTCTCTTTATCTTTCACTTGGTATTGTCAGAAATAGTTAGAATTGGGGCATTAAAACTGGGGTACTGCATGATTAATTACACTGTGACTGACAGATTCCAATGAATGTCTTTAATATAATTGCCTTTAATATCACAGCAGATGTTTGAGGTTTCACATTTCTCCTGAGCAGAAGGTGAAAAGCCGACAGAACCAGACAGGATTAACATTATAGAGAAGCCCTGACCCTTCTTTTATAATAAGTCTTTTCAAGTAAGCACCTACTCATGACTGAGACACGTGAATTCAAGTCTACTGAATTTGTCTGTATACGTGTATGTGCTTCTCACCATCCTCCATTGCTTGTTTCATGGTAATTGTTCAGAAGAGAATGAAAGGGTTATTCCACTGAAAAGATATGGAGAAAAAAAATAAAAAACAGATTTATGTAACAACCTCATTTTTTACATATTAAAAATAAAACAAATCTAGATAATTTAACAATCTTTAGTTAGTACCCATGTCATTATTAAACATAATTCAATTCATGTTGTGTGTGACTATCATCTTGTTTTATTACAACAGACAAAGAAAGATGACACATTTACATTTTCATTCCAAAAGCATTTCACCTTAGGCAGAATATCAGGTTGATCTTCATGTTTTCAAGGCATGAAAACACTCAAAATTACTACTTGGTATGGATATAATCTTCAGAGTTTGGAAGTTATGGCTGATAACCATGATTTTCATTCAAAATTGATCAACAGCAGATCTTGATGCCCTGGACAATTTGACTGCAGCTGGATAAAATGAGTAGTTTTTAAGTTAATTGTACTTCAAAGTTAAGAGTCTGTAACTTTTGAGAGATCATAGCAAAGTCTTACTATTATGATTAAATGTTATGGCTGTAGAAAATAGGTGTATCTTTATACCATGTTGTAATACACATTCTACCTCAAATGGTGTCCAAATAACTAACTTAAATCATGCTGTGATTGTTTTTATTTTTTATTTTTATTGTGTAGTTTTGGTCGTTATTAGGGGTTACTTTGAATAAATACATAAAATGAATATTTTACAAATAAAATGTTAATGTTAAAATTTATTTTTTTAAAAAAGAACAACAAATGATCAAAATTGCAGAGCAATGTTTAAAAATTATGTTCCTTTGAACAGCAGAGAGGGAAACAATGAATGAAGTGAATGTTTTAAATGCAGCTTATCCTACTTTAGAACTTCCTGTTACAGCAGCAGGTTACTAAATGTGGACTAATTTCAGGTTACGGCTATTCTTCAGCTGCTTATCTCGGCTCAACTTCCGTTTCCACTTACACTGTCTGGGAAGAGCTTCCATCAGTCATGAAACCTTGGGTTCTGTGAAACTCGTTACACAGTTTCATGGAACTTCTTTTGGACTATTTCTGTTGGTGTCGCTTATCAATCATGTAAGATAAATATTATCATTTAAAAAATAAATTGAATCCAGACCTATATACACCAGGGAGAACTTTGTTGCTATGCTATTGTATATAAAATATGCAATATTTTATTGTGTCTACATTATCGCCAGGAGGGTCCCATAGTGGATGGCAGCATTTATTAGTATTTCTTTGTGATTATTCTGTATGTGCGTAAATCCTTCATCCCTCATCCCTCAAGTTCTTGGTATTTCAAATGCTGTGCTACTAAGCAAACACAAAAAGGCATATAAAAAGTACAGTGAGCAAATAGACACTCAGCTTATTTGCTCATCAGCTGTAAGTAAAGCCCCATAGAGCAAGCAGGAAGGCTGTATATGCTTAGTCTGATTTTTTTTAATCAATTGCACTACAAGAGTCAGAAGTGTCAAAAAAGGTAAACTCACATTCCCTTCCTGTGGTCCAATTGTTCAGTGTGGGATTTCTCAGTTGAAAGGAACCAGTAGGGCGAGTGTGTCAGAAGCAGTCAACGCCAACAACATGAATGTGAGTTTACTACCAAACCTGAACTGACACTAATCCTCTCGGACCAGACTTAATCCACCAACCACCAATCTCCCTCTCTCACTCCCTTGCGCTGTCTCCTGCTCCCCCTTCTCTCTTCCCTGTTTGCTGATTTTTGCAATATTTTAAAAAAACATTTCGTTATCAGCTTGAAGTTTTTATCGCTAACCCTGTCAGTGTTCCCATGTCCACTTTTATTCTAGTTCCTGCTTTCTCGCTGTATTCTTCAGCCATCCTCATCAACTCACTCTCTCATTCACTTTAAGTAAGTCATCAAATCACAAAGCTTCTTAACTCTTCACTGCTTTTAGCCCCCCCCACACACACACACAGTATAATCACACATGTTTGTATAGCTGTCTTTGTGAGAACCCTTTGTGGCATAATGCATTACCCTGCCCTTTATCTTAATCTTCCCTTAATTCCAAATCAAAGCCTAAGACAGAGCCCAAAGCCTCAAATAGCCGTGACAAGCGGCAGGTTTGTCACGATGTGAAGATCAACAAAATGATCCTTTATCTTTAATGTCCTCATAAGCGGAACATTGGTCTTGATTCTCACAATAACTGTTGGCACATACAAACAGCAGGTCAGCAAGCCAACCAGAATCAGAGTGGCAGCAAAGAATAACAGTACTTCTGGTGCATTAACCCCTTAGCAGTCCTATTAGTCCCCTAAACCATCCAATGTCCCGTGGGCGGTACGTCCGACTGCTAACAGTTTAAATCCCACTGCAACATCTGGGTGAGGCCAGCCTGTGTCTGCTTTATGTATGTGTGTGTTGGGGGTTATTGCAGGGTAATGGTCACTGGGTCACCTCCTCCAGGATTATTCTGCTTTCTGAAGGATCAGTGGTAGACAAAAACACAAAGAAAGAGAGAGAGGACATATAACAAAAACAGATGCAAGAAAACATGGAAAAGTAGTACTATGTTTTTCCAGCAATTCTTTCTCAATATCTGACCAGCTACAGTTCTTTGCAAAATTCACATAACAATACGTGATCAAGTGATAAATTAAGTGATAAATTGGGAATATAGATTTCGTGTCATGACTAGGATAAAGGGAGATTATTAGGGCCATATAAGGGCCTCTGTGATTTTGACTCAGTGGGTGTGGTCTTGCTGTCTTTCCAGTCTTAGACGCTGCCCTTCTTTACAGCTGATTCTATTTAGCAATTAGGCCGGAGTACTTAAGTCCAAGGAGAAAAGCATTCCCGTACCAGAGGAACTTTTTGCTTTGCATGCTGTTAGGTGGATGTGTGACTGTTTATGCTTACTCTGTGAAAAGTTTGATCATTTAACCTTCTTAACTTACTCCATTGTTTAGTAGCTAACTTATGTGTTTTCTTGCTTTTGATGGTTTTGAAAACTCTGTTTTCAGATGTTTATAGAAAGGGAATGCTACACAGTAGTGAATATGGCCCTGTCCCAAATTCCTTGAGACTTGTTGCTGCCATCAAATTCAAAATGAGCTAATATTTTTCATGAAATTTTGGTTAGCACTGTTGCCTCACAGCTAGAATTTCCTGACTTCAATTCCAACATCAGGCCGGGGTCATTCTGTGTGGAGTTTGCATGTTTTTCCCGTGTTTATGAGGGTCCTCTCCGGGTATTCCGGCTTCCTTCCACAGTCCCAAGACATGCAGTTAGTGGGGTTAGGTTCATTGGAAACTCAAAATTAGGTGTGGGTGTGAATGGTTGTCTGTGTCTATTTGTTAGCACTGCATCTTGCCTTAAGACAGCTGGGATAGCCCCACCCCGCCCCCCAATAAAAATATAGGGTTAATTTGGGGGGGGTCTAATAAGCCTGTATCTTATTTTGAATAAAATATGGGGTTATTAGACTTACAAATCACTGCATTCTGTTTTATTTACATTGCCTTATAATTATTTTCATTTTGCATGAATGCTTGTGAATTTCCACAATATTTTTATAGTGGACAAAAATATTACTTTTGTTATTTCCTGAAAATGTACTGCTTATGTATTTTTAAAATAGTCATTATTAGCTAGAAACATTCAAGACGGATGGTCCAGATGGGCCTGGGCCCCCTTGCCCACGTGGGTTCCAGGGTATGGGGGTGTCTACTGGGTCAGCCGGGGAGCTGGCCCCAGGGAGGGGCCTCCCTTCCTTCCCTCCCCATCTCCAGCTGCTTCCCTCTTCCCGCTCCACCACAATCACCCACACATGCAGGGCCGTGGGGTAAAGGTGTGTGGAGATGAGGGAAATATTTTACTGCTACTATTCATAACCATCATCATTTCATCAAAGCATTTATTGAAGCTGTTGGCATTATGTTAAAACTTGTATTACAGGTGTTATCATAATCACATATTAACATTTTCATTACAGGTGCATTTATAATCATTTTATACACACATTGCAGGATTGTGCTTCTAGAGAGTTGATGTTCGGTCTATTAAAGTTCTTAAGCTTCGCGTGGCGTGACTGTCCAGGCGATCAATGGTGTAAGTGACTTGGAGCAATAGAAGGTTCAAAGCATGCACGCTTACAAGCACACATGAAAGTATTGATTCCAGGCCAAAGGCCAGAGATACATTTTGCTTCTAACTGCCTTTTAGCTTGCCTAGTAACAGGTGACAGAAGACAAGTCAAGAAAAGGACAAGCCCTCAGGGACCATTTAGGCTTGCAACTTATTGCCTTGTATGGAAGGTGTGATAGAAAAAGGAACTTCTTTGTCTAATTTTAGGGGTTTAAGATTGACCATTTACTATAACTGATGCATATTATGTTCATTTGTGACGCATGAAGGGGCGTAACCCTGATGAATGAAACCATTGTGAATAGACCTTTTCGGGGAAGATCGATGCTGGTGTGGCAGTATACATCTTCCCACGTGTGTACTCAATAAATCATTGTTTGACTGAACTTTTCTGGGCCTCTGTTGGTTTGTTCCATTGCTCAACATTTTCGAACCTACAACAGGTGTGTCACCAGGGTGCAGGGGAGGCATCCCCCCCTCTGTCCCCTTCTGGCTGCCTGTGCCTCAATTTTATCCCACAACTTAGACATTCACATTACTCACACTCTCATTACACATACATATAGGACCTTGGGGGTGGGCATCCAGAACACCATCAGGATGTACAACCTCACCCCTGGCGCCATTGCCCACCTTTCAATTTTAAATACACGTATATATTGAGGGCTATTAGGAGGGGCTATGCGCTTACCTGCTGCTCTCTGGCAGGTAGCTCCATGCCCTCCTGGGTTTTAAATGCACCTTAGAACACACATGCATCAACACTACAATGAGCGGGTGGAGGGAGGTTTGGAGTCTTCTCACACCCCCGTTCTCTGTTGCCTGTTGGGACGGGGAGGCTGGGAGGAGTTGACTGTCTGACTGGAGTCTGGAATGTGGGGCCTCCCTGCTGCTGTGGAGTCGGGGCGGTCTGCTTCTCTCCACCCCAGGGAAGAGGGTAACACTACCTGGGTCTGGGTGCAGTTTCCCCCTCTAGGGACAAGGGTACGTAGACCCGGGGCTTAGAGTACGCTTGGGGAGTGTGATTGTGTGTACAGTGTCTATTTATGTCTGTTTCCACGTTGGGTGAGTGCTGAGTAATCGCATATGAAAGCATGAGGGTGGGAATAGATGGTTGTATCTGTGTGTGCCTGTATGTCTGTGTCTTTATGTCAGGTTGGGTATCAGATGCCAGCTCTCTAGGGACATCTCAGGCCCTCCATGGTATGGAGGCCTATCTCCCCCCACCACTCCCCCTGCCAGTGGCAGACGCCCTCAGACATCGGTGAATTGGTGGTTCTTGGTGTCCGGGGTCGGACGTCCAGGTACGCACGGGCTCACTCCTGGCTTGGCAGGGCCTGGAGCCTGGGGCTCGCTTGGGCCCCTTCGGGGGGTGGGGTGCCCTCGGCCTCTGGGCCTGGGGCTCGGTCACTCAGGCACAGCTGGCTGCCGGCGGAGCTCACATGCCTCAAAGCACACTGTGTGCGCTGTCGATCCCACGTGCTGCACAGTTGCTTGTTTTCTCTTTTTTCTTTCTCAACAGGTGATCCAGGTAATTGATATATATTTTTTGTCTGTTTGTTTTGTTGTTTTTTGTTTTTTGCCCTTTATCACCGTTCCTCTTCCCTGCTGTTTTTCTTTCCCTACCTCTCTTTCTTTCTCCCTTTTATAAAATAATAATAAAAAAAGAAACATTCAAGACAATAAAAGTAGACAAAATAAATGAAAAAGGGAAAAGAAAATCAAAACCTTCTGCACTATAAAAGACCCACAAACGCATTTTCTAAACACTAAAACCAAATTGTTTATTCTGCTAACAGTTTGGTTTCTGTCTTAAGATTTTCAGCTCTTTAGGTTTCATAGAGGTACAAACTCTTTGTAATTAACTTTAATCAATGAAATCAAAATGACCAAACAATAAAGGACAACAAGGAAAAAAGTTAAAGTGGGCATGTTTTGCAAAATAAAACTTAAATTTAAAAGCAATTGTTCACAAATTATGAAAATATATATGATATGTAAGGTACATTATGGCATAAAGATTAAATGTGACCTCTATATTAAGATAACTCAATGATAAAGGGTGGAACACGCAGGGTATGGCTTTGTTTTTTTGCATAAGTTTTCTCAAATCACACACACTTACTCTGAACCTCTTTTTTTCATGTAATTTAAGTCAAGTCAGAATCTTAAACTAAGCTATATACAATGGACTTACAAAGGCTGTTACCAGTGTCATGTAATACTAAACAGTGGTCTATTTACAATTTAAGAAAAATGTTTTAATAAAGCCTCCATAGCTTCCGCTTATCACAAGTAACTGATAATGATTAAAAGAAAAAGTCAACATCTTTTGATATGAAGTGTAACAAGAATTCTGTTACGGATCTTTGATAGTTTGAATCCATAAAGTAAAGGATTCATAACTGGAGGAATAAAGAGAACAGCTATAGCGACAAAGTTTTGAAAACTTTGAGGTACATCATTTGATGCAAATCGCATGTGCATCAAATCAGAAATCACAATTACAAAAAAAGTAACCAAAGAGATCAAATGGGGCACACATGTCTGCATAAACTTTGCCTTGTCCTTTTTTGATTGCACACATGATTTAACAAGATAGATGTAAGTCCAAACAATAAAAATCCAGTGAAATATGTAAATTGAAAGCGTAGTATATGCAAAGGCACTATTGACAAGAGTGTCCATGCCAGGGCAGGCAACTTTAACAATCAGCCAATTAACACAGAAGAGTCTCTGAATGTCTGTACCACAGAATATCAGCCTGTCTGTCAGCATAATGTTAATGGAGAAAATGCAGAAAGGTGTTAACCAAGAGAAGCATACTAGTTTGGAGAGCTTCTTTTTTGTCATAACAGAGTGGTATTGAAGTGGTTGGCATATGGCCAAATACCTGTCATAAGCCATGACTGCAAGAATAGATGTGTCACTGCAAACAAAAGAGTACATTACAAATGCCTGACAAAGACATTCACTATAAGAGATGACCTGTGAAGATGAAAGGAGGTCAATGAGGAACTTGGGGTAGAAACCTGTGCTTCCATAAAGCCCATTAATGCAACACACACATACTAAAATATACATAGGTTCATGTAAGCTTTCATCTAAGACAATAATCATGATGACTGTGACATTAAGAAATACAATTGCAAAGTAACACACTAGAGTGGCAGAAAAGAAAGCAGCTCTGTAATTAGCTGTCTCATTGAATGCTAACAGATTAAAAATTCTCACTGTAGAAACATTATCCATAATGTCAATTAAACACTCTGCTTCTTAACTTGCCACAACGTAATACTATTCCGAGCTACCACCTAAAAAGTTAAAGTGGATCATTTGTCGTGTGTTGCGGCTGCATTCCTGAAACGATGTCTCCTTTCAAAACCACATATTAATATCCTAGCTGACACACTGGGGATTCTGATCATAGGCTTGTTTGACTAGACTGCAGATTGCTAAGGGAGAGGCCAGCCACACTTCAGAGAAAGCTCATTCCCACTGCTAATATCCGCAATCTTGTTCTTTTGGTCATTTTCCCAAAATTTGTGACCATAGGTGAGGGTAGGGATGTAGATCAACTGGTAAATCGAGAGCTTCGCTTTTACGCTTAGTTTTCTCTTCACCACGATGGACCAGCAGAGCATTACTGCAACCAAAGCACCAAATCATCTGTCAATCTCCCGATCCCTTCGACTCTCTCTTGTGAACAAGACCCCGAGATACTTAAACTCCTCCACTTGGGGCAGCAACTCGGTACTGACCCAGACTGGGCTTTCTAAACCTTTTCTGGCTGAGGACCATGGCCTCAGACTTGGACATGCTAATTCTCATTCCCACTACTACACACTTGGTTGCAAATCGCTCCAGTGGAAGCTGAAGGGCACCACCTAGAGCCAGCAGAACCACATCATATGTAAATAGAAGTGACAAGGTTCTGAGACCACCCAAGCGGAAGCCTTTCACCACTTGGTTACGCCTAGAAATTACATCCATAAAAATTATGAACAGTATCTGTTAATTCCTCCTGTAGAGTGATGGGCCTACAGGACGAATTAATATTTTATTATTTATTATATTAGGATTCTTCCATGGTGTCGTTTCCGTTTTCTTCTTTTTGAGATTATGGTTTATACATTATTCTAAAATGTAGTTCATCTCCCTGGTTTTGGTTCTTGTTTTGTTTAGTATTTGTCGCGGTCCTGGGACGTTCATCCAGTTTCCTGGCTTTATTCATATCCTTGTGTTTAGTTTTAGTCATGGTAGTGTGCTGTGCCTCCACTGTGTCCCTGTTGCTTATGTAGTCTCTCTCTTGTGCATGTTAAGTTCTGTTTCTGTGTTAATTGATCTGTTTCCCTGTCGTGTCTCTCGCTCCCCCCTGTTCTTTGTATTTAGTTATTCCACATCTTAGAGTGTGTCTCTTGGTTCCTGTTTTATTTTCGTAGTCCTTTGTCCTGTGTTCATTGTATTTAGTTTAACTTCTTCCCTATGTTTTCTGGTCTGATTGGTCCCAACTGTGTTCCTGCCTGTCTCCCATCCCTTTGTTATCCTGCATGTGTATTTAAGTCTTCGGTCTCCCTCTGTTCATTGTTGCATTCTCCCTGTTAGCTGTATTTTCTGCCGAGGGCATCCCACCCCCCGAAGGGGCCCGAACAAGCCCCAGGCTCCAGGCCCTGACAAGCAGCCACCAGGAGTGAGCCAGTGCGTACCTGGACCCCCATCCCCAGACACCAAGAACCACCAATGCACCAATGACTGAGGGTGTCTGCCACTGGCAGGGGGAGTGGTGGAGGGAGATAGGCCTCCATACCATGGAGGGCCTGAGATGTCCCTAGAGAGCTGGCGTCTGATACCCAACCTGACATATAGACACAGACAAACAGGCACACACAGATACAACCATCTATTCCCACCCTCATGCTCTTATATGCAATTACTCAGCACTCACCCAACGTGGAGACAGACATAAATAGACACTGTACACACAATCACACTCCCCAAGCGTACTTTATACCCCAGGTCTAGGTACCCTTGTCCCTAGAGGGGGAAACTGCACCCAGACTCAGGTGGTGTTACCCTCTTCCCTGGGGTGGAGAGAAGCAGACCTCCCCGACTCCGCAGCAGCAGGGAAGCCCCACATTCCACACTCAATCGGACAGCAAACTCCCCCCCCACCAGGTAACAGAGAACGGGAGTGTGTGAAGACTCTGTGTTTTCTTCTGTTAGTTGTGTGTTCTCCCGGCATGTCATGCCATGTCATGTCGTGTCATGTTATGTCATGTTATGTCATGTCCAGTTGTTAGTTCTAGTATCTTTTGTTAGTGTCCTTAGTGTTCACCTCTTTTTGTTTTAGTTTGTTTTTTCAACAATAAAGCTGTCGCTTTCAGTTACGTTTTTGTGTCCGAGACTTGCGTTTGGGTCCAATCCCTGCCTGTCACACAGCTCACCATAATACATGGCTGTTTTAAGGGAGTCCAGCAAAATAATAATTTTACTATACAGTATAAACCACATGTGTTTATTTACGATAAAACTACAGTGAAATTACTGCAATTTCCTGAGAATACTGGATCCTGATTCACATTTTAAAATCTCTTTGGGCATACATGAAGTGGTCAAGACTCGTTCAGACTTTTTTGACTATCATAATGATGTGACAAAACTCACATCTTCTCCCCTGATACTTTCTGGTTAAGTTAACATAATATTTTTCAGTTTTACTGATCTTTAGTATGAGGTTACCCTACCAGCACCAGCCCTCTAGAAAGGAACTGCAAGGTTCATGAGACTGAAAGTCATAAAAAACATGAAACGCTGAATGTAATTTATACACAACCTGTAAGAAGAATGATTTATTAATTCTGAAAGAGACGTTGGCTGTAGACCTGTGGAAAGTCTACATTTAAAATATAAGATTCACTCTCTTCTGAAAATCAGAAACATTTACTTGACTCCTTAAACTTTTGGTGCATTTGCATCATTACTTGTTTTATGAAAGAGAAAACTACTATTATAAACAGTACGTTTATTGTTGTTGTTGAAGAGCTTGTATTTGTGAGAGTTAATACCAAGCTGCATTTTAATTGCTCTCTAGAGGCAAAAGACATAATGACCTGTTGACCACCACAAATTCTCTGTTATAAAAACCCAAAGGTGTACTGAATGGTTGTTATAAAATAACACATTAGATCAATACCACTGGATCCCTGTAATTACAGAGGTAAATGGGAGAACATCCCATGAGCTCACTGTTGCCACTGGGTCATAATTAGAGGTTTAGAGACTGGCTGTAGTCAGGCCACTCCTCTGAGGCCTGGCCTGTTGTTTTCCACAGTGCAAGTGAGATAGATGCAAAGGCACAGTATAGGTCATTAATGACTCATTAAGGTATGCTTACATCACCAGGGGGCAGCTTTGTGTAGCCAAATGTTAAAGTCATGAAGTCGCCTTAAGGGGGCATGTTGATATTATGAAGTAAATAATATTATTATGAGTAAGTAAGTATTATAAGTAAATTGCATCATACAGTTTGAAGTAACTTTTTTCATTCTCCTAAGGCGAGTGCGCATGTACACACACACACACACACACACACACACACACACACACACACACACACACACACACAC